TCCCCTCGGTGCAGCCAACCCCGCAGCTCCCAGCAGCCTGGGACGGGGCCAGAAAGAGGCCAGAAAGAGGGGCCAGAGCCGTGCTCACCCCACGCCAGAGGGGAGCACGAGGAGGGGAGGAGGTGAACCAAACTGCCTGCTGGACACCAGAGTCCACACAGATGTCGGGAGAGATGGGACAGACACAGCAGCAGGGCTGGCTCTTGCCTTGGCGTTGGGAGCCGGTGGGGACATGGGAGACCAGGCAGCTCACGGCACCCCGTCTTTTTCACCACAGGGACACTGACATTTATGATGACGTTGAGATTTACGGTAGGTGCAGGTGGAACTGCTGCTGTAGCCCCTTTGCCAAGCGCGGGGCGCTGCTCCCTGGCACGGGTGGGCAGCAGCGATCCCCACGCCGGCACCACAGCCTCCTCTCCTGCCTCCTTCCGTTTCCCACCTTCCCTCTCTGTGATTCCTCTCCCTCTCTCTGGGACATCCCTTCCTTTACTCTCTGTTCCACACAGGTCCTTGCGTTCCTCCATTCCTGATTATTTTGATTTCCCCGTGCCCTTTCCCTTCTCAGCTTGCTCCCTCCACTTGCTGCCAGCCCTAGGGACCCCCCAATATCCTTTGAGGTGTCCCTGATCGCCCAGAAAACTTGGGGTGCCCTTTCCCAAGCAGTTGCTCACTCCTGCTGTGCAAACTCCAATCCCCTGGCTCGCACACAGAGCTGAACAGAGACAACTGGATTTTAGCTGTGCCCATGAGGAAATATTTTATCTAATTCTGCCTGACAGGTTGAGTGATCCGCGCTAAGGCCAAAGGCACAAGACAGCACCAACAGAGACCTCCCCAAGGGCCGAAAGATGAAAAGCACTATACGCTACGTTCCTGCTTTGGAAGGAGCTCTGCTTCCTCTGAGATAACCTGCAAAACAGCGAGGTGCTCCCTGCCGAGGCAGCGGTGAGGCTGTCCAGCATCCTGCGGGGCCACGAGGATCCCGTCCTGCAAAGACACCCTCAAGCCAAGTTTTCTCTGTGGCTTTGTTTGGTCTGTGTAAAATGTGGCAATGGTTTAAGAGGGTTTCATGGTCTTATTGTGGGCCAGGGGGGTTAAAATCTAGGGCAGAGAGGTTTTAATTTGGAGAGGTTTTAGCAGTTCCCCATTCCCCGAGCATCCTCAGCCTGTAATCCCTAAACCCACCCGCTCCATCCTTCAGCTGCCTTCAGCAGTGCTCTCCTGCCCCAGTGAGAGCCCTGGCCTGGGCCAGAGCCAAACCGGACATAGAAATACTCTAAAACATCGTGGGCAGCAGCAGCGACTGACCAGGGTCCCAGCAGCACCCCGTGGCCTTGCGGCAGCTCCCCTGCAGAGCTGGTGGCGGGGTCGGAGCTGTTGGGGTGGGTGTTCCCACAAGTACTTGGGCTGACAGTCTGTGCAGATCACCATGGGAAATTCTTGGATTAACTGGGAAACAGCCTTCCTCTGCGAGCTTCACCCTCACCAAGCCCTCACAGGAGCGGGTAGGAAGGTGGGAGAACAGACCCCGTGGCAGCCTCCAGAGGCAGGACCCAGGTCCTTTTGGGTCAGGACCCGTGCTGAGCGTTCCGGGGCAGAGCCCAGCTCTCAGCCTGCATCTCGGCGAGCGGAGGGTTAACCTGGGAGGGTTCGGCGGGATGCCAAGCCCGGATTAACCAGTTGAAGACGTCACTTTCCATTATGGGAAAGGCTCCCAAATAGCCCTGAAGCTTTTGGTGGCAGAGATCAGCTGCCAGCGAAGGGCAGGGCTCCATCGCGAGGTGCCCGAGGCGATGAGCGCGGCCGGGGGCCGCTGGAGCGCGGCCGGCAGCCGCTCCAAGGGGCATCGTCTTGGCAGCTGAGGAGACCATGTGGGAGCGAGTCAGGAGAGCTTTGCTGAACTCGCTGTCCACAACCTTCCTGCGCGTCTGGAAGTGGGTACGGGCTTTCTGGTGTAAAAATGGCCTCCTGACCCTATCGATGCTGTCGGTTGCCACCGGGTGCCTCC